ATTGAATACTCACAAGTTATCAATATCTAGACACTGATGATTAAAATTGATCAGCACTTTGCTCTTTCTGATTCACAGTAAGAAAGGTAATTAACTCAGCTTTCTTAGAGGTTCACAAATATGATAAGCATGTTTAAGGGAAATCTCTGCAATTGTTAGTTGCTTTATGCTCACATAATGATGATCGGCTGACTTGGGCAATTATTTGGTTGATTTTCTAACTGTCCTCATTTTTTGATGCTATGATGAAGTTTGGTTGTAGATATTTTTTTAAAAATAAATGCATTCAAATGTGGTCCTTTTAAAATATTAGATATCTGAGAAACAACTTGAAAAACAGGTTTATGTATTTTGGATCAAAATAAAAACACTCTGGATATGTATCTATATCTGTGATGGAGTGGCTAGTGAAAATACAACTACAGTTTTCAGATAATAATGACAAAATTATATTCATGCACTAAATATCTCTTTAATATCTAACATCATAAGAGTATGTCTGATTTACTTTGGCCATGTCATGCATGCAAATTTATTGAAGAAGGCAATGATGCTAGAGGAATGGTTTGTGGAACAAAAAGGAGAAGCAAAGAACATTGTGGCTTGATAATATCAAATCTGATACAAAGTTGAACATGCAACAATTGAAAGAAGCTGTGCTTGATAGAGTAGAATGGAGAACACTTGCCTATAAAGTTACCAAAAGTCAGATACCATTAAATTAAATGGTTAAAACAAGAATACTTATCTCACTGTTGAAGCAGTAATCTAGTGATTGTCTGGATGCCTCTTGTCATATTAGTTTTATAATTTAAATCCAGGTTGTATCATTAAATGCAGAAGTCCTAAAAAAGCAATAGTGACCAATTTTCTCTTTAAGAAAAAAAATCTTGTTCAGATAAATAGGTTCTGTATTATCTTTCTTGGTTACACATATTTGCTAGGAGTAATTTATCCAGTAATTAATTATTCATCAAGGTCTTTAATTCTTTCACATAGTGCAGAATTACATGTGATAAAGAAGCTTTGTTCTTAGAATATAAGTTGCAATTCCATAACAGTGGCCAGTGTGTTGTGAATGTAATTGGTGCCATTTATCAATAACATGCTTCTGCCATTAAGATATTGTTTTGTGATCTGATGACCTTGGGAAGTTTTGCAGGGTTCTGCCTATCTCTAGCAATAATAATTGTTCATAGCAGCATTTCCTGTTTTGCAAGTCTGTTCTGCCAGTATATGGGTTGTCTGCCAGTTAGATACAGTCTGCCATTGGATATGATCTAGGAGAACACTAAGACCGTTGTGGCAACTGCTATCATTTATAAATTGGAAAATAGTATACTTTGTTGTTTTTCCTTTTAGAAATTCAAGTATACAAATCAGAAACCTTTTTTAAAAATGAGTTCTGGGAATAAGTTGCTGATTGATGCTTATGTAAACACAGTAGGTACAATGTACTACTTTTATTTCCACTGGTGTGAATAAAAATAGGAATACATGTTCTAGAATTGTGCTTGTTCTCTGGAGGTTTAGAAACCTGACCTGGGTCACTACATATGAGGATTTCCCCCTAGTTTGAAAGCAGCTTCAGATCCCAGTGATCTTATAACTCTGATATTGTTAAAGGCAAAGCCTATTTATTTCTGGTTCAGAGACAACATAAAAAACTACACTAAAATAAATTAAAATTTGTCACTATTTTGACTACTTTATACATGCTTTATAAATTAATATCCTATTCTGAAGATCTTTGAAATATGAACATCTTCATCACTCTATCTCCTAAATTCGAAACAATAATTACTCCGTTTTTCTTCAACTACATGTTCTATAGCAGGGGTGTCAAACTCAAGGCCCGCAGACTGGATCCAGCCCGTGGGGTGCTTTGGCTCATGGGGCTGGCTTGGAAATAGCATAGGATCAGCCCGCAATGCCTCTGGCAGCCAAAATGGAGCACAGGGGGCCCACATGAGTGCCCTCTGCACCCTGTTTTTGGCCTGGATGGCCTCCAGCAGTACTCTGCCGGTCAAAATATGATGTGGAGGGCCTCACGCAGCCCCCCAGCCCCTCATTTTGGCCGGCTGCAGGAGGCATCCATCCGGTTTCCCTGCCTCCTTCCTAGCTAGCTCATGGAGAACTACAGTGCAGACCCAGCCCTCAAAGAAATCCACTTTGACACACCCCTGTTCTATAGAGCTTTAGTTGAACTTACAAGGAAGTTAAGAATTTTGTAGATGGATTGCAGCCCCACAGACTCCATTCTGGATTGCAGATTGTGTTCTTGTCAAGTTCTCATTTCACTTTTTCAAGTCTGTTGTATGCTCAGGAGGTACAAGGATCTGCAAAGAATTTACAATGAATCAATCCTGGCTGCATTTTCTTATTCCTGCCATTGCAGCAATACTATTGGAGCTGCTGCAAAATAGTTGATATCTGCATTTTTGTTTCCCAATTCATAGTAACATTTTCACAGAAATAGAAGGATTAATGCTTTTGTAGCTGGGTAGGTTCCCTTGTATCCAGATTTTTGCCCCATGGTAAAAGGGGGGCCAGGCAAATGCATGTCATGTGTATTAAAATGTATATGTGGGATAGAATTTCTCATTCATTTTTAATGTATGTGGTGAGGATGAAGAGTTCTGTTACTTCAGAAACTGTATAGCTTAGAAGCAGGGCATTGACTGAATTCTTCTCCCCCCACCCCACAGAGTGTGTCTCTATGTATGTATTTGTGGTTGTGTGTATGTGTGTGTGTGTTTTCCCCCTCTCACTCTCTGAATTCTTAAGTCACTGAGAAACAGCACTAATCAGTTGATGATTTAATGTTTAAATACTTCATATTTCAACGTTTATTTCAAATTACTTTTGAGGGGTTAGGGAGCAAAAACAAGTTTGACGTACTGTATGGAGGTTCTACTTATCAGGCTTTCATTCAGATTTGTCTAGATTTGTTTTTACGTCTTTTGTAACTGAATTAGGCAACCTGAATGTACATCAAGTCACAAATAAAATTTTTGGGAATAATAAATCATATGGTAATATAGTAGCTTAGCTGTTGAACTGTGAGGCAGTATATGTTTTACATCCAACCTAATATGAAATGCAGGAAATCCTTTATTTTATCTTCTGTAACTTTTCATCTACAAGTAGGGATTTTTTGTTTTTGAAGACAGCATAATTGCTAAGTTGCAGGTTAAATAAATGCATTCATTTTTTAAACTCAACACATTGCACATGCTCATCACATGCACATGTCCTCTTAGAAATATTGATAAAGGTTATTAGAAGGAGCGGAAAGCCACAAGACTTGTTCTTCACACATACATGCATACACACTCATGCTGTCTCTGTTTTCTTCTTTATTAAATAATCAAGGATTTTCAGCTGGATTATTTAAGGGAAGGAAAGCCTAAATTGCCTCCCATTAATCTAAAGAGGGTTGCTGGGAGGAAGGAGAAAGCCTCCTAACAACTTGGCATACCAATTGCTGATTTTTTTCCTGCAGCATAGAAATCATGAAGTTGGCCTATTGTATAGAACTATAAGGAAATTCTACATAGTATACAGGCAGTCCTCGACTTAACAACAGTTCGTTTAGTGACAGTTCAAAATTACAAGAGCACTGAAAACAGTGTCAGATTTCCTATTCGTGTTTTTCTTTCTGAGTTGCTTGTGCAAGATCAAAATTTAGCATTGTTGGTAACTTACTCTTGAATTCACTAGTTCACTGCAGTTAGTTTTCTGAATCTTGGTGTTCACATTATTCCTTATATCATTTGTATGCTTTAGTGCCATAATAATTTTTAGCCATAATTGTAGAAATCCACTGCAGTTGGACTACGTGTTCTGCAGGACTTTAATAGGCTATAGTTACTATAAATGCTGATATAAAGATGATAGGAAGAACTACTAGTCAGTTGAAGAACAGCAATAGCCAGTGTCATAATGATGTCTGATTCTATAGAACAGAGATCATATAGTCCTCCTGATGATGCTGAATTCCAGCTCTTGTTCTCTGTGGTGAATTCAAATTATTCAATAATGTTATACTGTGTTTTTTTTTTGTTAAAGCAAAAAATGCAAAATACCTTCCCCATTGACAAGAGCTTATTAAACAAAGTTTGGCATTTATTGTACATACTTCGATGTTTTTTTTCAACGTCTGAAAATCTTGCCAAGAAAATTATAGGGACTAGTCCAGGAAGTTACTAGAAGTCAAAGGCACAAAAACAAACAAATCCTATTCCAATTATTTTTGTGATGTGTTCACTGTTGCTTCATCTGTTTGTTTTAGTTATTAAAGAAAATACATTATGCACTATAGGTAGGCCAGCTGCATATGTACTGTTAGAAGCCAAGAAATTATTAAAAATTCAGCACTTTAGCATTTAGTAGGGTATTCAGAAGTTGCTTATCTGGCTGGTACAGCTGTTGGAGGTAGACCAAACATGTGGCAATCATTTAGGATAAGAACACCTGCAGTTTATTTTTTGCTATTGTCACATGCAATAACCATCTGGTTTAATAAGTGTTCCTTTCTGCTTTAGATTTTATATTTGTCAGAAACATTTAATGGGGGAGAGGTGGGAAACTAAAGATGGAGATAGCTGAAAGGGAACATTTTCAGCTTTATTGCTCTTAAATTACATCTTGTTCGCTAGTTGTAATGTTGCTGCTATAGATAAAATGTTCAAAAGCTTGAATGAATCTCCCTAGAGCATTTTAACTGTTGTTATCCCAGTATTGTTAACTGACAGTAGCAAAAACCTTTTCTAGCTTCCTGACCTTTTAAAGTCATTTTTTAAAAATTCATGTTGTAAACTACCAAAATGCCTTACAGCACAATGTTCATTTGTGTCTGCTTTATTCTCTGCTTCAGTTGCTTTTTTAATTACTTAAAATTGTTAACAGCTGCTTTCTTATATGTTGAGTTAGCTAGGTGTCTGGTCTTGCATTTATCTGAAATAGATAAAGCTTTTAAATGAGTGTTAATTTCACAGGAACAAACCCCTCTGCCATCTTGGGAAGTGAGAAGTGTTACCCACATTCATGACTATGGAATTCTGTGTTCCTTTGTGACAATAGCTATATGGGTGCTGTATCCTGTTCCAAAACATCCTGATTAGAGGTAATTCTTTTAGAAAAATGTGAAATAGATATTGTTGATGTGGCCTGATAATTTCAGTAGAGACCTGTCTTCAATTTGAACATGAGTTTGAAATCTTTTATAATTTTATTTTTACAATGTATCACATTTTTGGTATTGTGTCAAACATAGAGCTGCATCTGTATTTTTGACCATGAGATGCAATATCCAATTCAGTCGCTTGTATGTAGACTTTTAGCCACTCTGATAGAACAAAATGTTGCCCAGAGTATGCCATTACAGAGAGAGTCTATGCTTCATACCCTTCATAATTATAACATGTATCCTTATGGTGATTTTATCATGGTTTTACCGTAATATTTTATCTTGTATATTGTATTGCCCACATATTGTATATACACATATATACATATACATATGTGCACGCGTGCACACACACACATTGATGCTTTGTTAAAACTTATATTTGTATTTCTATGCAGGTGTTTTATTAGTATTGTGTATCAGTGATTGCATAACCTTGGTAGGTGCCATTCGCTAATTAAAAAATACATGTAGCATTATGCTGAGTGGAGGAATACATTTTCCAAGTTTAATGTGGCCCTGTTGAGCTGAATTAAAGTGCCTTTAAAAAGCTGTGGTAGTGCAATGGTTAGAATGCAGTACTGCAGGCTACTTCTGCTGCCTTCCAACTGTCTGCAATGTGACAATTCGAATCTCACCAGGCTCAAGGTTGACTGAGTCTTCCATCCTTCTGAGGTAAAATGAAGACCCAGATAGTTTGGGGCAATATGCTGACTTTGTAAACCCCTTAGAGAAGGCTATAAAACATTGTGAAGTGGTATATGTCTAAATGCTATTGCTATAACATAGTCCTATAGTAGTACTAATATCTTGTTTCTTAGTAACCAGTTGTCATTTGGAGACTTGTGATGTTTTGTACAGTTACGATGAGTATTCTGAAGAAGTTGATTAGTTTGTTTTACAAATTTTGTTAGAACGGCAGAAGGATTGGTTGTGTACTACTAGAATAACTTGCAGATAGCAACCTTTAATTTTACTTTCTGTTTGCTCAAAGGAATAGATTATCATTATAGAAACATTTTAAGGAATATCTTAGAATCATATTAAGCTGGGAACATATAGTATGTAAATTCTTTCTGAAATATAAGCTTTATTGTATTGATCGAATTTAAAAATGAAAATAGTCTAATAGGAGATTGAGTAGTTGGTATTTTAATATGTATTTTTCTCAGTCCACCTTAATATGCATCAAATACTCATCCTTTTTTAATAAAGCAATTGTTTCTACATCATGATGAATGGTTTCTATTTTATATGTGATATTTCCTGCAGTGCAAGTGTGAGAGGTGAAGCCAAAAATAACAGTGTATGTGAATAGAGCCTTGGTATCCATTATGAGACATCAAAGAAGGCTCTGAATTTTTCTCTTTTTCCATAAAAAAAGAAAATTAAAATAATTGTCTGAGCCAAAGATTACAACAGTACTATTTTTGATCTCTAAAATAGATAATTTATAAATCTGCAGTAAGAAGAATAGTAAACTTATATCAGTTGTTCAGATAAACTATATATACATATCATTTGAAAAGACAAAAGATTCATATATAAATATATTGAATTAGATTCTTTAAAAGTCTTCTGTAAGGTCCCAGACTTATTTAAACAGAGGGATTGTTTATTACACAGTGCTAAACTAAGATTTGTATTAAAGTATTTTTTTAAAAAAAATCAGATATAGTTTATATTTCTTCTTGTAGAATCGGAGGAAATTGATAGAATACAAGAATAAAAAAAAAATCAGAGGAAAAAAGAGGAAATTAAAAAAAAAACTGAAGAAGTAAACAACACACAAAAAAAGCAAGGTTATAGCCAATAAGTAAGATAAATAACACCAGGCAAACATGAGAAAACAATAATAAAAAAACTACAAGTGTGACTTCAAGATTTTTCTCCCTTTGCTTTGCATCTTTCGGCTGTCATAAGTAACGGGGGAGAGGGAGGATATGGTTATGGGAAGTGAGCTGGAGGTGTTACAAAACAGAACTGTATAAGCTGGGGGTGGGGTGTAGATTCTTGCTTAGGCTTTTATCCTATGCTATGCGCAGCTGCAACTCTTTATCAAAATATGTCAAGGTCAACGGACAGAGGCCTCATCACCACCTGGAGATGCCCACATGATGATATACACAACTTTTAATTGGATGAGCCAATTGAACTATTGGGAGTGGGAACATTGCCATTACTTTGTATATGTGATTTACGCACCCATTTTCTCAGATTCAGAATTCTTTTGTTGCTACCACTTGATTTCCAGTAAAAGATACCTTTTCTCTGATTAATGGAGTCTAGGTATTTCTTTCTTGGATTTTGAATGGAGCACCAGCTGACAAAGGAGGAAAACAATATTTCTACCAACACTGGAAAGGCAAACTTACTATACATAAACAGGGAGCAAACACCATACTCATTTTCACTAATGATGTTATCTAGTTGGGTAATCAAACTTCTGCAAGCAAACAGCCAAGCTCATAGAGCACCAAGAACTCCACAATAGCAAGAATCTGTAATTCTTGTGGTTGGAAATAGTAGTGTTTTAGCAATTAGAATATTTAGAGCCAAATGTGTAATTATCTCTTTTATATATTGTTTGTAGTCTGTTTTCAAGGAGATCTACTCACATGTGCTCCCTACATGTGCTAGAAAGTTTAGATTATGGCAGGTGCTAGCCTCCCACTCTCTGAAGACTTATTTTCTATTTAGGGGACATGTTTTTGTGAATGAGTAGTGTCACCCAGACAGAGTTTAAAAGTATTTTCCATAGCTTTCTGTTTTTCTTTTTCAGGATCAAATCATCACGGTCCACAGGCCTTTCTCTTCATTGTATTTGAAATAATAAGACAATTTGCATTGAGGATAGATATTTTTTCACATACAAATAGCACCATTATTTTTAAACTTCTAATGCCCTTCAGTGTGTTTTTCTTCTTTTTCATGAAGGGTAGCCGGAACAGCCTGATAGGGGCCCATTTCCAGAGAGACGTGGATGATGCCAGAACTATGACAGGGGCTGCAGTCTTGGCATTGAAGGGAGGTGATCAGTTATGGAACAGTCAAAGGAGGAAGTACCTGAAGTCAGGGAAGAAGAGGAGGAAAAGGAAGAGACAGTGATGGCAGTAAGTGGAACCTCAGAGCCAAATGAAGGTCTTGGTAATTCGGCACCATCTGCCAAGTGTACAGGTAAGTTGGAAAAAGGTATTAATGCCTTAGAGACACTTAAAGGAGCAATGGACAAGTGTTGAATACTTTTTTTCCAGTAATTTGTTCTCAGTGGGATGACATTTTCCTCACTATTATAACAAATTTATTACAGGCTTTATTAATTCACAGTTCTCAAATATATTAAGAAACTTTCCTTTATTTTTGTTTTGCATACTTAGTGTGCTTTGGGTCCCTTAGATTTAGGAACCTGGAAGCATGCTTTCTCTTTAGCAGCACCTGCCCTCTGGAATGAGGTTGCCCCTGAGATCTGGATGCTCCCCACCCTGCTGATATTCAGAAAGGCCTTGTAGATCTGGCTCTTTGCTCAGGCCCTTTGTGAGGGAGAATTAGGACGTTCATCCTTGTCTGATCTGTTATTATTGCAAATGCTAAGGGTGCTACTCTGAGAACTGAAAATATAAATAATCTGCAAGTTTTAGTAATAAAAATCATGAAAGATAGTGAAAAAAGCAGGGCTACAAATATAAAGATTAAAATAATGACTATAGGTACCACAACCAGCCTTAGAACTGACAATGAATTTATTGAAGTGATAAATTGCTTCTTTTTTTTAGGATCGACTATCAATAGTAAAAGGACCATCAATAAAGAAATATATATCATAGTCTAGCATTTTTTAGAGTAGTAATGAAGGCCTCAGAAAAGACTTGGTATGCTGATATGTGTGTATAACTAGAAAGGTCAGAATTATGAAGGTGATGATATTCTCCTTCACACTCTATGGAAGAAAAAGTTGGACTTTAAAGAAGCAGGATAGAAGAGCATATTGATGCTTTTGAAATTAGTTATTGGAGAATAGCATGGATAGCCAAGAAAGCAAAGAAATAAATACCATGGATATTGAAGAAAATATACCCTAATTTTCTCTTGCAACACTGATTGAAATTCCTGCAGTTTGATTATAACACACAAGCCATCTTAAAAGATAGATAGACAGACAGACAGACAGAATCTACTAAGTAAATCAGTAGAGAGTGGCAGTATACAGATACTATTGTCTTTTACCTTTTATAGTTGAAAAGCAATTGCTTTTACCCAGTTGAAAGAATATTGGATGAAGTTCATATTATAAAATCATTTGCTTGTACAAAAAATTTTTATTGTTATGCTACATTGCGCATTAGGGTCAAAATGTACATAACAGCAAGCTTTCAACAAAAGTTGAATATAATGTGATAGAGTAAATATGATTCTGAAAAAAACATTTTAGGCTAATGTCCACAAAGCTTTGTTGCAAACCCATGTTCAAAATTGCTGGATATAAAGATGGAGATTTGTCCCTGTAAGATAGTTGCTTCCAGATTTTGCATCACAGTATTTGCCATATAGTACCAATAGTCTTCAACTTACAACCACAATTGAGCTTGGAAATTTGGTTGTAAGTTGAGTCATCATAGACATGAACATGATTGTTAAGCAAATAACATGGTCATACGTCTAAATACAGCTTATCCGATGGGGCAGTTCTTGCCGGAAAAGAGCAAATATGATCTTGTAACTCTGGGAAAAAGCAGTGGGATTGACATGTGACCTCTTGCCAGCTTCCCATTGATTTTGCTTGTGGAAAGCTGGTAGGGAAGGTTTCAAATGTTGATTAAATGATTGCAGGACTCTGCAACCTTTATAAATGTGAGCCAGGTCCTAAGTATCACAATCATGGGACCATGGGGATGTAATGGTTGCAACTTTGAGGACTGGTCATAACTCCCCTTGTTCAGCACTATCGTAAGTTTGAATGATCAGTAAATGAATGAACCAGGGGTGGGATACGACAGGGTTAACTACCAGTTCAGGATTTACGAGCTTCCCTGCACACTGGGAGCCGTGCACCTGTAAATCGTCATCAGCACGCTGTGTGCAGAGAAGCAGCCTTTGAAACAGCCCTCTTTTCCTGATTTTTTAACTGCAGCTGTGCCTCGTTCGGCAGCTGAAGTTGAAAAATCAGGAAATAAAGATCAGATAAGAGCCCAGGTGGGCAAAAACATCAGCAGACATAGAACTGGTTCTATGTCTGCTGCTCTTCAGAGCTACCGGTTCTACAGAGGTGGATAGAACCGGTAGAAACCCACCCCTGGAATGAACATAATCAAGACTACTTATACTTTCTCCGATTTGGTAATTACAAATGCAAGGTAAATAAGCAAAGCAAAAAGGCCAAAGATTTGTACCAGATGGTTCTTTACTGCAAAATTACAATGTAATACCTTCTCCATTCTGTTTCCTGATAGATATTTCCCAGAGTTCTTCTCCTTCTCTGTTGGACCAACTCCAGATGGGCTGTGATGAGGCAAATTCAGGAAGTCTAAATGTGGAATGCAGAGTTTGTGGTGACAAGGCATCAGGGTTTCATTATGGGGTACATGCATGTGAAGGCTGTAAGGTAAGGACAACACAAAGATTAGATATAACCTTATGAGAGGTAGACTGGGTTCCTTAGTGTTCCCTAAGCTTGGAGGTTTTCTTGCAAATGTTTCATTACCAAACTAGACAACATCAGTGCTAAAAGGGAGTGAGGTTTGCTCTTATTTTTATATACTAGTGGCTTACCCTGCCAGTGTTGGTGGGAGTGTAGTGGCTCTTTGATTAAGCTGTTGTTTACTGTTAGTGTGTTTGTGTTTGTAGTTCCTTGATTGGGATATTGTTGGTTTAGTGTTAATCTTGGTGTTAATCTCTGCTCATATGGGTGTTTTGGGCTTTTTGATTGTCTCTTTTGAGTGGTATATAGATATCGTTTAACTCTATGTGCCTGTTGAGTACCAGGCCTCCAGGAATTCTGTGGCATTTTTGGACATTTTTGACCTAGGATTGCTCACAAATTTCCAGTTGAAACTATGGTTTACTCTGTCCATGTGTTGTGAAATAAAGGTGTTTTCATCATGTCTTCTGTCTACTAGTTGGTGTTCACAGATGTGTTTTGCCAATCTTCTACCTGTTTGTCCTACATAGTGGTTGTTACAGTTCTTACACTGTAGGTTGTAGATGACTCCTGTTTTTTCTCCTGGGTGTACTGGATCTTTTGATTTACTTAGGATGTTTTGGAGGGCTTTAGTTGGTTTGTGTACTACAGTGATGCCATGTGGTGATAATAGTCTTTGGGTGGTTTCTGACAGATTTTTGATGTACGGCAGTGCCATGCTTTATGCTTTTTATAGCTTGTGTTGGTTGAGCTATGGTGTGTTGAATGATTTGGCACTTTTTGATAAAGCTACATGGATATCCATTTTGTTGGAAGACATTGTATGGTTTCCTTTTTCCAATGTTCAAGGTTGCTGCAGTGTGTTTGTGCTCGTCTAAATAGACATGCTTCTCTTGTGGGAGATTGACTAGTTTATTTTGTTAGTGGAACACCTGGGTTGTGTGGGCAGTTCTTTAATAAATTTGTGTTTATAATTTACCATCACTGCCTCTGCTGTTAAGGATATCTAGGAAAGGGAGTGTGTTGTTTTTTTCTTGTGAATTTTATTCCTTTGAAGATGTTGTTGATAGTTTTGTGTGTTTTTTCTAGTTGGTTCTTTGTTGTTATTAGCATGATACTAGCTAATTTGGTAATGACACATCTGTAAGAAAACAATCAAAATAAGACCAAGCAGGCCACAGTTTAACTCTGAGCAACAAATACTCTCTAGAGAAGGAAAGATGGAACTAGAAACTCAAGAAGTCTCCTTTTTGTTGCTTTTCTTATTTTTCATTGAATCTCTCCTCTCAGAATGTAGAGATCTCTTTTAGAAATTAGACCTGGATATATGTGATAACTGAAGCAAGACCCTTATATGTATAGAGATGGAAAGACTCACAGATTCTCACAATGGAAGAATGGGTGGTAAAGTTAATGGAAAAGCTGAGATTAAAGAAAAGATTTTGTCTAGCTTTGTTTCTACGTGGAAACCACTTTTGGACTTTTTCTTAGAAACTAAAAGAAATGCTATGCTGATTTTGAGTATAGAAATATAATATGGAATTTTAGACCAAACAGTTAATGTATTTTATATTTGTAAATGAATCAAAGAAAGTTGGAAATTACTTTTCTGTTTCTTTTCTTTTCTCCTTATTCCTTTGCACCTTCTTCCTCCATATTTGTTTTTCCTTCTTAATTTCTTTTTTTCTAGTTTTTATTTAAATTATTTAGTAGATTTATATGGTTGCCCACTCTTCTAACAAAAGAGCAGCTTACAAACAATAAAAACCCAATATAAAAACAATAACCTTCCACCCTCCCCCAGCAACAATAAGGAATGAAACGAACTGCTTGATGAGTTCCAACCCACTTTAGGCTCCCCAGGCTTGTTGGCTGAACCAGATCTTCAGGCCTTGTGAAAGAGTGTCAAAGTGGGGACCAGTTTAATCTCTCCAGGGATGATGTTCCAAAGGGAGGGAGCTACCATGGAGAAGGCATCCCGACAGATGTAACTCCTTGGGAGACAGGACCCATAACGTTCCCTGCCTCCCCCTCTAGTGGGTTGGGTAGATGTAACTGGGAAAAAAACAGAGTCCTTCAGATAAACTGGTCCTAAGCCATGAAGGGCTTTAAAGTTGATATCAGCAGCTTGAATTGCACCTGGAAGCAAATCTGCAGCCAATGCAACTCCCTTATCTGAAGTAATACCAAAAAAGATGAGATAACAAGGATGTTGAGAAGTTGGGATTTGTTGATTACAGTAAAGTCCATCTGGTGGTCACTTGTGAAACTGCATGCCTTTGTTTTATATATTAAAATAAACATATTTATTTAAGGCAGGCTTTGCCCGCTGCCCCCATCATTATTTTCTGCACGCATAGTTTCATTTTAGAAGGTTTTTTGTAATATGTTTAAGGCATGTATTTATTGCTGAAAATATTGTTCTAAGATCTAAGGTAATAGGAAACCTGGCACTTCTGAAAGGGCTATTAATATCAGAACGAAATCCAACATCTGTCTTACCACTTACCAACAGGGATTCTTTCGTCGAACGATCCGCATGAAGCTAGAGTATGAAAAATGTGAGCGGAACTGTAAAATTCAGAAAAAGAACCGAAACAAGTGCCAGTACTGCCGCTTTCAGAAATGCCTTTCACTAGGCATGTCACACAATGGTGAGATCTCCCTCTTCTTGCTCTGGGTAGGGTTGAAGCATAGAGTTATAGTGAGATCAGTGGAATTATACATTTACTATAAAATTTAATAAGGAGTAGAAATTTTAGGAATGCCTCACTGGATAGATATATTTAAAGCATGGTTACCTTACAAATTATTTTAAAATACTTAAAAAAAATCACAGTAGCTAATAAATCAATATGAAATAAAACGAGCGCTAAAAGCTCAAATAAGATTTGAGCATAAAATAAAAATATGGCCCATGCATCCCAAAATAGTAGTCCCCAAAGGACAAAAGTCTATTTTCATTTCCAGAACAAAAACGGTTTCCCTATGAAATCTATATACAATTATTCTAAATAATTTAATTGCATGTCTTTGTTTCTTTTCTTAAAGCATTTTGAGAGAGTTTGGTGTGTTTCTGTATGTTGATGCCTATATTACATAAAGAAAAAAGACTAAATAAAAAAAAAAATCCTAGGATATTTATATGAAGGTGCACAGTGATTTTAATGCAGGTTTGTTGCAACTAAGCAAAATTTGTATAGTCAGTGTCCAATTGGACAACTGTATGAGAATTCAGCAAATGCTGGCCCTCATTCAAGGTTAGATGGCACTGCAGTAAAAGCTCTGCTTTTGACTATGAAACGGTTAACATCGTACAATAATTTACATTATGTCCAAACTGTTGATATTGAACTGAAGACACATGAACTAACATTTGATCTCCTGATCCCGACTGGTATACGGCTGAAAGAATGATTGCATTTGCTTTAGAGCAGTAGGTAGTAATTTTCCTCCCAGGTTTGCCTGTGTGTAGCAATATGTTTGTACTGCTGTGCCATAAATTTGAAAATGCCTACTAACTCAGCCTTTCAGTCAGCACAAAAGCACCCATCCAGAAGAATGGAAAGTTTCTTTCCACCAAAAAGACATGCCTTTACTTGCCTGGAGAAGCCTGCTGACATAGGATATGCTACCTTGCACTCCTCATCAGCATTGTACTTGGGGAGGTAATTATCATTAACTGTGTCACCCTGCATGTGTTTACTTTTTTTGTAGAATGCCCTTAGAAAGGTATTGCTATATTTTTGGATTAAAATGAATTCATTTAAAATGAAGCTTTGTCTGGGAGCAGCAGGTGTGGGCATAGTAACTTGAACAGTAGATTAGAACCAGATGACCCCCATTCAAATCCCACTCAACCCATAATGTTCATTTATGACCTTGAGCTAAAGTCTGTCTCTCAGTCTAACATACTTCTCACAGCTGTTAGGGTGATAAATGAGGAACATTGTATATATTTTCCCTGGACTCTTTGAAGAAAAGATGGAATATAAACTGATATATTTATATTTGGCTTTTTCTATAATGTTATGTTACAAACAAAAAGCAGTTTTAAAAGACATGATGGCATGTTAATAAAAATAACTATTCTTAACCTTTTTAGCTCAAGGCTTTTAAGCCCCCTGCTTTGTTTTGTTTCTTTAGCCATTCGTTTTGGCCGCATGCCAGAAGCTGAAAAAAGGAAGTTAGTGGCAGGACTGACAGCTACTGAAATCAGCTGCCAGAACCAGCAGGTGGCTGATCTGAAAGTCTTTTCCAAGCACATCTACAATGCCTACCTGAAAAATTTCAACATGACCAAAAAGAAAGCACGAGGCATCTTAACTGGAAAAGCCAGTAGCACTCCTGTGAGTACCTCAATTCCAGAGGTTTACGTAGTGTATTAAACCAAGAAAGACATTCTTCTCAAAACAAATTAGTATATACCCATATTTTTTTTAAAAAATGCTATATTTTTAAACTATGAGTAGTATTTAAAAGATTTACGTGAGATTGGCATGCTATATTTATAGATAGCAGTAATTAAATGAATTGCCAGCAACTTACATTCCAGTAAAAGATATATATTAAAACTGCAATTAAAACTTTTATCAATAGAAATCACCACAAATATTTGATAGAACTTAATAGAAGTCATATTTAGGTTTCAAAAGCTCCACAAAGAAACTTCACAGTTCTGTGAAAAATCCAAGATACATACTAATCAGACCTCTCATGAAAGGCTTTCCCACAGGGCAGAGCATCCCATGAAAACACTTCTGGGGCCCCACTCTTCTTACCTTCTGCCTATGGGAAATCCTAAGTATTCCCACCTGAGATGACTCCACAGGGTAGACTGATTCTACATGAAGAAGACAGTCTTCAAGTTACCTGAAAGTCAGATTTTTTTGAGCTTTAATAAAGACATAAATTGAATTTTAGTGTTATTATTTTTATATAATTCCATATAATAAAAAATAATGATGCCTTTCAGCCTGGTTTGACTTATCTACATTTACCTGAAGAATCTGGTTCTCAGTTTGTACATTGTATTCTGTTTTGTAGAACAAAAAGGGAGGCTTTAAATGATCAGTAGTGTAAATAATAAGCATTGTCACACTGCCTTTGTGGCTACTGGTAGGTTTCTCAATACCAAATCCTAACTTTATATGTTGTTCTTCATAGCCTTTTGTGATTCATGACATGGATACCCTGTGGCAAGCTGAAAAGGGTCTGGTGTGGAAACAACTGATAAATGGGATGCCACCATACAAGGAGATTGGAGTTCATGTTTTTTACCGCTGCCAGTGTACATCAGTCGAGACCGTGCGGGAACTCACTGTATTTGCCAAGAGCATTCCTAGCTTCATCAGCCTTTATCTTAATGATCAAGTAACTCTCTTGAAATATGGGGTACACGAGGCCATCTTTGCTATGCTTGCCTCCATCATGAACAAGGATGGACTTCTGGTGGCCAATGGCAATGCTTTTGTGACACGCGAATTCTTGCGCAGCTTGCGCAAGCCCTTCAGCGAAATCATGGAGCCCAAATTTGAATTTGCTGTGAAGTTCAATGCCCTGGAGTTAGATGACAGTGACTTGTCTCTGTTTGTAGCTGCCATCATCTTGTGTGGAGGTGAGAGATTAGAAAAACATTGAGCAAGGGGGAAAGGTAATTCATTTTTAGCAAGAGATCACATTCAGAGCATTTGATAAATCATTCTCTGTCAGTTTATGTCACAATAATGGGTAGCAGTTTCACAGTGTATAATTTTAATTATGTCAGAAATCTATTAGATACCATTCAAAACTTTCCTGCTATTAATATGGTAATAAAATGAGAGTAATATGTGTGGATATAAAATCAATTTAATATTACTGATATTAAATTTAACAGTATGATAGGATGAGTAAAAATATTATCAAACAATTTTATTCAATACTAATCAAAATTGTATTACAGTCACAGACCAGCATATATTTACTACTAAATTTATTTGGCAGATCCTGCGTTTCCTCCAAAAATTCAAAACATCATATATAACATTTTCTCCTCAAGTTTTTCCATACAATAACATCCTAGCAAGATGGCCAAAATACCCAACTGAATTTTCATTACTAAGGGTAAACCTAGGACTTCTCACTTCTAAAATGTACTGCTACGTGTATTGCTACTGATGTGAAATTAATATAGTGTAGTCCAATCATTTAATTATTGTACATTTTGGCTGTCATTCTATTGCAGAATCTTAATTGTGCTATAACCAGACTGTAATAACTGAACTAAGAATCCTTAACCTTTTATCTCACTATTTTCTGAATAATATGAGGAAAAACCCCATAATTTCACTATGTATAATGAATTGGTATAATTTGGAAATTTCTGTTAATTATAAGAATGATTATGGCATTTTATCCAATGCCTAAGTAATGTCCAATTTTGTATGTTATTCCAAATTTAGTCTCTAATCACATATAATTCTTGGACTTACTTGGAATTGGTTAAATTTAATGTTAATACTATGGAAAAGTGAATTAAAAATAAAAGTTTTAAGAAGAAAGTGATACAGAGCATCACCTAAGGTTTAAAAATTTCCTTCTTGTGTGCTTCTATGGAAAACTACTGGTTGTAACAAGATCCCCGGAAGCTTCAAAAGGAGACTCTTGATAAGGACTATAATAGAAAAACTTGACTTTTAACAAAATAAAGAATAAGACAAAAGAAATGGAAGTAATAAGCAAAGAATTTAAGTCGGAGCTTCAAAATGTGAGAGAGATGCTTAAAGAAAGAATGAGATTGGTGGAGTTAATGCTGAGTAAAAGTAATGGCATTGCAATGGAAGAACAAAGGGAGAAAAATAACAGTTTTGATGAGCACGAAGAACAAGGATCACTGTCAAAGGATATAAAAGGATGTAAAACAGACATCAACATTATAGACAATAAATAAAAGATACAAGACCCTCAAGACTAAGAAGAAGGGAATATATAAGAAGAAACTCCAAAAAAGAGAACTGAAAAGGGGGGGAGGAGAAACATGGCTGATAGGCAGCGGGAAATAAAAATAAAACTAGAAGGAAAAAAGAAGAAAGACTGTGGAAACTTAGAAAAGGGAAACCTAGCCAAAATTATGAGATTCAGAGATAAAGATTAGGGATTGTATAAGGGGGATACCACATGGGAATGTATATTGGCATTTAGTTTTAATATTTGTTGGAAATTATTTTAGGATTATATAATTATATATATATAACTGTATATAAAGTGTGCTGTTATGAACCCCAACATTGGAGGATTAAAACGGGAATGGAAATGTATTAAAATATATAGATAAATTTTGGATAAGTGGGAAGGAAGAAAAATATGATTATGATTAATGATTATAAGAAAAGTAAAGATGAAATGAGTTATATTAAGAAGCTATTTTAGCAATTTCAGGTAGGATATTTTAATATATGTTTTAAAATATACAGTTGATTATTTAATATTAATATGTTTAAAGTTGGGGAATGAATTATTAAATCAGATAGATTGAGGGGATATACCATTTAGATCCTAAATATATTGGTTTTTATTTTTACCCTTTTTAGATTGTTTATAATATAATTGGCTTAGGGAAAATTAAGGATAATGATGATGAGTAATGTTAAATAAAATAGGTGGTAAGCTGAAAATGGAAATAATAGGGGATAAAGAACTGGGAATTTATATTTGGATGACATATTGATATTGAATTAATGGATTAAAATATGAAATTTATTTAAAGATGAGTGGAATGAATAATGATATGTGATGATATAAGATTGGTAGAAATGAAAGTATGATTATGTACAAGTGTTATAATCTGGAATCACGTTGCTCACGTAAAGAGATGTGTAAAAATTAAAAAATTAAAAACTTTTTGGAAAAAAAATAGAATGAGTATAGCTATAACGGTAGAGGAAAATTATCTTTTAGAGGGAGAAAACTATTCCCATCATCTTCAATCAGCTAAGGTATCATATTGCTTATCTTTAAAGGAAATGATAGCTTTTAGATGCTCGTTTATAGAAAAAGAAAATGAATTTTACTGTAGGGAACTTGTTTGTAATAGTGATAACATAGTTTTTTTTAAAAAAAAAACCTTTCATAAAAGAAGTCTAAGATGATTTTTTAAAAATTCTAAATATTTATTCCTCCATGAAAAAATAATGGATGGAGTACACAGAGTCATACTTTTGTGTTTTGTTATTTTGCTTGAAATTGATTTTGTTCTTAAATATTGATGGTTTTCCCCAATTTCTCTGCCATCTTTTATATTCAACATCATTATGATTTTGTCCCTGAGGCTGTAGATATGCTGTAGATAAGTCTAGGAGAGGATGTTTAATATCAGTTAATGTTCCTCTATGAAAGAAACTCCCTGAGCATGATATTGTGGAACAAGATAGTCTGACATTTATTTCTTATATATTCCTGAGGAAAAAAATATAAAAATATTGAGAAAAATAAGTCACAAAGTCAAATGTTTTATAAATAACTCGCTGTGTTTCTTTTCTTGTAGACCGCCCTGGCCTAATGAATGTTAAACAAGTAGAGGCGATACAGGACAATATTCTCCAAGCTCTTGAGTTCCATCTACAAGCTAATCACCCAGACATTCAATACCTCTTTCCTAAGTTGCTGCAAAAAATGGCTGACTTGAGACAGTTAGTGACTGAGCATGCACAATTGGTGCAGAAGATCAAAAAGACTGAGACAGAGACTTCTCTGCACCCTCTCTTACAGGAAATCTACAAGGACATGTACTGAGGAGCTTTTATTTATCAGATAGGTGAAAGCCATGGAATCCAGCAAATGCTTGTATATTAGCAAAGAAATCCCTGCGTCTTCCATTTCTTTACTAGAATTACTTTTACTAGATGATTGATCTATGCTGCATATGGTGGCTTATAGTAGAAAATTGGAAATTTACCACTGGGTATAGACCAGAGGGCTTCCATTAACATACACTAAATGAAACTAACATACACTAAATGAAACTTGTTGCTACAGTTCAACTCTTAGCATTATTCCAGAGCTGCTATGGTATTTATATACACTCTGTACTTGAATTGTTATATTAGATAACATGAATTGTGCCCAATTCAGGCAAGCAGTACCTTCAATTGGCAGGTACAGAAATAGCACTTCATCACAATCCTGTTACATGTTATTTTTATATTTCAAAAATTTTGGCTGGCCCTAAGTATAAATTATGGGATATTACAAGGAAATTATGTGAATATATAAATTTCCCAAAGAAATAGTGTTGCCTGAAGAGTACGAACACTCCTTTTAGAAATTCTTTTATTGGAAAGGCCTTTAGTTTTCAACCTCAGTGCACAAAAATAGATAATGTGTTCTGGCTGAAAGGGTTGTCTTCCACATGGGTTTTTACATGCCTCTGCTTATTCTATACTGCAGATTGTTGAAGCTCTTCATGAATTAGTTCAAGGCTCTTCAACCTTGGCAAGTTTAAGACATGGACTTCAACTCCCAGAATTCCTGAGCTAACATGATTGGAGGAGGAATTCTGGGAGTTGAAGTCCACAAGTCTTAAAGCTGTCAAGTTTGAAGACCCCTGATTTACTATAATGCTTGCTTATTTACATAGAAAAGTGGGCTTTCCTCTCTCTCTCTGTTCAGGTACTCACCTGAGAAAAAAAGAATCATTCTGATCACTTGAGTACTTCACTTTTGGGGAGGGGAGAATACAGTGTAAGAAAGATTTTAAAAGGCAGCAGTCAGATTCTTGTGAAATCGGGGTGATTTATGGATGGTAAATAGTGAATAGTATTTTATTTTTTGATCTGTGGTGCAACCTCTTATCATGTCCTTTCCAAGGGGAGGATTCTTACTAATTGCACTTGTGTCTTTCCCGCAAGCACAAACACATTATACCCTTTCATAATCAGTAATTAGGAATACAGGTAGTCCTTGATTTACAACCACAATTGGGACCAGGATTTCTATTACTAAGCAAGGCAGTTGTTCAGTGAGTTGTGCCTGATTTTACAACTTTTTGCCACAATTAAGTCAGTCATTACAGTCAATAAGTGAATCAGGCAGTCATTAAGTGAATCTGGCTTCCCTCATTGAGTTTCCTTGTTGGAAGCTGGCTGGGAAGGTTGTAAATGGCTGTCACATGACCCTGGAACAATGCCACTGTTGTAAATGCATGCCAGTTGCCAAGCCCCTAGATTTTAATCATGTGAACATGAGGATGCTGTAACCGTCATAACTGCAAGGCCTGGTCATAAGTTATTTCTTCAGTGCTATTGTAAATTCAAACACTCACTGAAGGAATGGTTGTACGTCAAGGACAACTTAATTGTGTTATGGTAAGTATTCTGTGTTCAGAAAACATTTAACAATTATTTCTCAATGGGTCTTATAAAAGATTAACGACAATTTAATATTTCTCAAGCATTTCAATTGGGTTACAATACAATTTTGGCTCCTTTTTCTTTCATGATTGTTCCTGCTTTATTCCATAGGTGTGCCAGATAACTCTTGCTAATATAATTCATCAGCATATTTCTTCTTTACTATAGAAGATTCTTTGGGTGTGAGGATTTTATTGTCACATTGATGTGCCAGTGATATGGAATCATTATGCCTACACCAAGTAATGTGAATTTTGTTGGATTTCTTTCTTTGGTAACTTCCAATGTGTCCTGACTGAGTGCAGAATAGATCAACATGTTGGTTAAATGTGGCATTAAGAGCACTGTCATGTAATTGTGGTAATGTTTTTCTTGCTACATTGTTAAATGGATTCTTAACTTTCAGAGAAGAAAAACTATTATAAAAACAACCATGAATACCAAAAATAGTATATATACACACGTACAGTATACAGCACAGAATTTTAGATGATGCAAAAATTGCTTAAATTGGCTGGTTGTCCTGACATTTTAGCTCAAATCATGTAGATTTTCTGCTTGTTCTGCATAATACTTTAGATTTTCATTTCTGGATTTGGATATAGAAATTTACAAAGAACTTTCAGTCTTAATTCATGATACTAATAAGTAACAATATTTTCAAACTAACTTTTTTTAAAAGTGCCACCATTCTTTGGGGGAAGGGGCAAATGAAGCAGTGTTTAGCAAGAGCTTTACATGGAGGAAGCTTCCAAACAGGGGCGTCAAACTCATGGCATCACATTGTCATCACGTGATGTATCACAACTTTTTCCCCCTTCACTTAACCGGGGGTGGGCGTAGCCAGTGTGTGACACATCCAGCCCTTGGGCTGCGAGTTTGACACTTGAGTTAAAAAGAGCCATGAGACAAGTGATAAACCTATGCCACTGCCTTGGTGCCACTGCCAGCTTCTGTTTAAAGGTAGGACTTGGAAAGAGAGACATCTGATATCCTGGAGTACTACTGATAATCACTGTATACAGTACTGAGATAGGCAACTGTCTGTTTTGCCTCATTAGTTTGATTATTTAGCTATCCTAGCCAATTAATATTCCATTATGACTCATAATATATCGTTTGGTCGATCCAGAGGTTGGGTATCTTTTTTATTTTAATAAACAAATGCTTTTTTTTAAAAAAAAGATCTTGAAACAAATACCCTGTTTCTCCAACAATACAGCCTCCCCCAATAGGAAGTCTCAACATGTTTTATAGGCATGAAATGAAATTATACCCCTCCCCCCAAATTAAGGCCTATATTAAAACATGCAAAATGGGGGGGAATGGTGGGGGGGGCTTGCTGTTAGGAAGTACTTTTGTTGCACACCAGGATATGGTGCTGCCTGTGTTGACCCCAATACGAAGTGCCCCACCAACGCCGAGGTCAACATCCAAGCCATCGCCGCCCGCCCGAAGATGCAAGGTGGGGGGTGAATTAAGTCACCCCCGGAAAGATGGCCTAGCCATTTTTTCGGGACTCAAAAAAAAATAAGACCCAGCCTTATATGAGGAACACGGTAATTAAATGGAAATTTGAATTGGACAACCGTGTTGCTTAAATTTTATTATAATCTAGATCAGGGGTGTCAAACATATCAGGACTTTTTTCCCCTTTGCGAAACCGGGTGTGGGTGTGGCCAGCGGGCTGTGAGTTTGACAGCCCTGATCTATGTAATTTACTACCAACTTTTTAACAAAAATCAGAATGTATTTTGCAAGCTGTGGAATACTCTTGCAGCCAAAGCACATTTTTGAATAATAGACTTATGTTTAACAACTTGCCTCATAGATGCATCTAGTTAAGATTTCTGATTAGATTGATGAAGTTAGTGAAAAATGGATCAATAATTTTCTCTATTTTATGTCTGGTTGCAGAAAGTATTTTCCTTGCTAGAAATACATTTTTAAAAATATTGATCCTTTCTTTGCCAGCCACCCTAAAAATCCAGACAACTAGACCTGTAGGAGACAGGTAAAATATCTTTTGCTGGTGGTAATGCTTTAAAATATTTAAAGGACCGTGTACACATCTATGCAGAAATAAATTATTTGTAGATTGTTTTGCAGCCATAATATTCCTCAGTTACCTTTTTTGCTTCAAATATTTTTTCCTTGTGTTCCAATTTCAGACTGCCCAATACTATAGTGCTGTTTTTCTATAGTTGAACCCATAATAAAGAATCCTTTGTGATTTTCATGCATAGGATAGTTCCATTAATCAATTTGACATGATATCTACCATGTATTAGTAGCCAGAATGTTGTTTTCCTTACTAACTTAAAGAGAAGCAAGGTCACTTCTTCCAACTTAGCACAGATGTACAGCATTTGCTTTTGTTGTATTTCTATTTCCAGAATGAAATAAGTGGGAAGTTCTACCTCTATCTTGCAGGAGTGATATGAAATGTGTTTTATTGGGAGAATTCATGTTTTAGGAGCCACAGGTGGGCAAATCACTAAAAGAATGGCTTGTAATTTTTATATTTCAGCATCTGCCTTAGGCCTTCATTTTAGCCACTCTTACTGAAGGTCTCTTTTCCTTGCATCTTACTGTTCTTCAGGAGATGCAGGACAAATATTTGCAGCACTAGAAGAGTGTACCTTTTTTTTTTTTTTTGCGGAGAAGTATGATGGCAGAACAATGTAGCAATCCTCAAACTGAAATGTATATTTTTGCTAGAAGTTCAAATTTCAGATGTTTTAAAACAAATAGGGACTGACAATATAAACAATAGAAATAAATATTTAAGAAACAATTACAATGTAGCTTTTCTTTTATCTACTTCTAACTTTAGCTTCCCTGAGGACATAGATTAATTTTTCTATTACAAATTTCACTGAAACGCTGAACAGTATCTCTCAGTCACAATGTATTATGCAATTTTGAGTAATGGTAATTTTTAAAATCTTTTTAGGACAAAATACATTTCTGGTCATTGGGTTCTTCATTTGTTTTATGCTGAATGTGAATCTTTAAAAAAATACTGTATTTAAACTGAAATAGAAGCATACTGAAACAGAAAAGCAAATTTAAGATACACTTTTGGAAGTACAAATATAAAAATTATTAATTTAGTCTCTAGCATTAATTTGGACTTTCAGGTATCTTTGCTTCCCTATATGCAAATATCATGAAATGCCATTAGTTTCAGAATCTTGTGTTTATACACATAGATCAATTTGTATGTATAAAGCAGCCTTCAGTAACCCACAAGAGACTGTCAGCGTGACATGCTGTTAATCCAAACCACAACATTTAATTACTTTGTGTGGACTTTGTTCAGTTCAGTACACATGGTCTTAGGCTGAACTAACTACAATTTGAGCTCAGACTTAAGAGCTGATAGGTAGGATGCTAACAAAAAATTCCAAAAAAGTACTTGTACAAATGATATTTCATTGAGCAAAGTAGGTTATACTTCTGAGAAAAGATACGTGGGATTTCAGTGCATGATTCTACATAGTTATGCAGGTTATTTCATTTTTTTTAAATTATAATTTTATTTGTGAAACAAAAGAAAAGACATTTAAAAACAGTGAAAAACTATTTTCAAAGTCTTTCAACATGACATAACCTGGTGCAGGTTATTTCATGTTGAAAGACTTTGAGAATAGTGCTTCATACATATAAAATACTTCAGTTTTCATTTTAATAAGACTAGCTTGGCAGCGGATCTTTATCTAACTGGATAAATGGGGCCTTAACAGGAACTCTTCAATCCCTTCTAGCTTAAGCAGTTGTTCATGATTGCTTTATGAAATCCATTGCTTCGGATACATGAAAATGATTGTTACATAAGTTAAATTAACTTCTAAGAAATGTCCAGGACTCCTGTGTTAGTGTTTAACAATGCTCCTTTTTAAATTTTGAACTCAAACTTACAGTGCTTGTAGCTGTTTCACATAATACCAAAAAGCATACATAACATAGCTACTGTATCTTCCCACATTGCATAATCTGATATTGAAATATACAGTGATCTATTAGTATGTACCATATTCATTGGAAATATGCATTGGCTCTATGGGAGCTGTTTCTCAAAAAAAAAAAAAAAAAATTAAGGAAGCATGAGGGGACAAAAATAAATAATGGAGAAAGGTAATATTTTAGCTTATTGGTGAGTAAGGAAAGATGTCCCTGCAGATTTTACTCCGCTAGTCATTGCCAACTATATGGGGCGGTGTTCATCTCCATTTCAAGGCCATGCTGTCCAAAGACATTTCTACGGTCATATGGGCAGCATGATGTCATGGAACACTTTCCTTCCCACCAAAACAATACTTACTTATCTACTTGCATTTGCATGCTTTCAAACTGGGCAGGAGCTAGGCAAAGACAGGCACTCACACCTGTCACATGATGCTGTCAGGTCTTGAACCCCGGCTGTTGGCTTCACAACCAGAAAGCCTAGCGTCTCAACTGCTGAGCCATTGTGCTGCCTTTTTGGTGAGTAGAGTAACCCATACCCAGTTAAAATAGACCTTTATGCATAGAACCCAAGTGCATGCTGATTTAATAGGGAATATAATTAATATATTAAGAAATACATTAATAAGAAACTTACTTTCCCACATTCCCATTCTCATCTCATAATGAATTATTCAAAATAGTGCCTATAAAGTCTTTGAAAAGTAATGGTAGCAAGAGAAAGAAATGATAGGACCAAATGTTTCCATGTGTATCAACCTATTGCTATGAATACATTTCATTATTTTTCAGTAGGCCGAGGAAGAATGAATAGTATGTGTAGTCTGCTTCTTTTTGCACAGTCTAAGGAATAAGCTGACTGGTTTTCAGTGGAATAGCTCAATCTGATGAACAACTTTTGCATTCTTCTATTGGTTGGTAACAGAAAGAACTGACTGGTTGATGCTATTTCTTGTTTTCATCAAGAGTTGTCAGAAGTGAAGGACCGTATGACTAATTTGCAAATGCTTTGAAGTAATTTGGGAATGGAAACAGTACCATGTAGAGATGTCCTAATTGTCCAGGATGTGTTCTCTTAAAGATTATTCTGAACAACTGAAGATATAAATAGTAATTACAGACATGAATAAACACTACTGACTAGCTGCTAAACATGGCATTTCTATAAGTTCCTATCTAGACAGTGTTCTTGTATTTTTAAAGATCCTGAAACTGGAAGCATTTCATAGATTTTCTTCAGCAACTTTAACAACGGTTGAATAAGATCAGTATTATTCCTGTAGCAGGTAGAAGTTGGAAGAATATACTTAGTGACACGTTAGATTTGAACCTGAAAATATCTTATGAACTAAGTCACATTCTCCCAGTTATGTATGCATACGTCTATACCCCAAAATTAACATGCTTACCTTCCAGACGTGCTTGTAGCATTTTGAGTACAAAAACGTGCCTTAAGAATGCTAAGTCTTGTGATATGCAAGTTTTGAACTGGAAGTTTCTAATTCATCTTAGCTTTATCATGTGTGCTGATAAATTCACACCACGAATATAACTACAGCTGAGGTCTCACATGTTTTGAATCCTAGCAATTTGACTATTTTAAATATATGATTGCTTTGCTTTCTCCTGCCATATTTTAGCAGTCTAACATCCTAAGTTTATTTGTTTCTGTCAAGAGAGCATTGAATCCACGTAATGTTTGATTATTTATAAATGTGCAACAAATGCATCCTAAAACAGCACCATTGCAGGATATACTACAGGGAATGATCTAATCTAGTTTCAAGTATTCATTCAAACTGCCTCTCTCAAAAACATATACTTTTTACCAATCAAATCAGAGAAAACCAGAGAAACTATTCTATTTATGCCAATCAAGATAACTGGAAACATTGACAGATTTAGAAACATTGAAATACAAAATGCTGTTACTGCAGAACTACATAAATAGGAATAAAATAAAAAGTCAATCTTATTTGGAATCAACTTAAAAGACATGAAAAATGCGTTCAACCTTTCACGACCCAGCTGCTTGTAAGAGGGTCTGTGAGGATCATCTTTTATTTCAAAAGACTCAGCAATTATGCTAGCTTCTAGAGATGGATTGAAATGATGTCAGAAAAATAGTATTTCTATCCACATTGGAATTTGGGTAGAATCTTTAAGTAGTTTGTGGTTCATTTAGAAGCTTTGCAAAGGGCTTCTAGTGTCTTCAAAAAGTAATT